GAGTTAGAATATGGGATTAGGTATATATCTAAGTTAATTGCAAGTTTTGGCTTTAATTGTACTTTCACAAACTTGATTGGTTCTTCTATTTCTAACTTTACTCTAAAGATTGCAATAATTGAAACTAAGGACAATATTTTTGTTGTTGTTTTTCAAATGTTTAAAGAGACTAGGGTAGTGACTTCTACCTAGGTGGATATCTAACGGGTAGAAAAATCTAGGGCAAGCTTGATTAGTGGGATTGTAATATAACTATCACACCCAGATACTCACTCTAAACCTCTTGGTAGTTTGAGTGATTTTACCTAATTTGGCTTTCTCAAGTCTAAATGGGTATTCATGCAAATCAAGTGATATTGGCTCAGGTTGGGTATTACTATCTCTAGGTTTAACCTTTTAATTGAGGATATCAATTTATTGAGTTCACCCCAATTTCTTGTTAGCCTAGTTTTTCTAGACTTAGTCCCTCTTTCTCAAGTAGAGACTAAGTCATAAAGGCATGAATCAATGTTTGCAACCATTAATTCTTGAGTTCTAGCAAGAACTAGGCTAAATATCACTAACTCATTCACATTCAAGCCCTAAAATCAAATACCCATTAAATACCCACACTAGGGTTGGGTCACAACCCTAGCTATGTGTTTAGCTACTTATGGAAATAACAGAAATTAAAGATGAAATGAAGATAAAATCCATAATATTAATTTGTGGAATGAAAATCTAATGTTAAAAGTGAAACTAGTACAAAAACTCCAAAAACAGAAAAGTCAGCCGTATACAAAACATAACATAACCTAAAAATGATAAAAAGTTCTATTTATACTAAGCTGAAAATATCTGACAAAAATGCCCTTGCGGAGGTTGTGCGACCGCGTAATTCTGAGTGCGGCCGCACTCTTGCTTTTGCGGCCGCATAATTCTGATGCGGTCCGTGTTCTTCTCTTTTTGATCTGGGTTGAGTTGAACTTTCGCGGACCGCATAATTCTAAGTGCGACTACGCTCCAGATTATGCGGCCGCATAAAAGTGATGCGGTTCGCACTTGCTTGAGTTTGGCTTGAAATCAACTCTCTGGTTCTTCATTTTGCGGACCGCATAATTTCGATTGCAGTCGTACAAGGGATTCCGTGGCCGCAAAATTCTGGTGCGGTCCGTACTTCTCTCTTTTGCTCATGTTGTCAGCTCTCTGAATCTCAGTCATCGCGGTCCGCATAATTTCAATCACGGCCGCATAAGGACTCTCGCGGCCGCACATTTCTGGTGCGGTCCGCGCTCATCATTTAGCCCAAAAATCACTCTCTGGATCTCCCTCTCGTGGATCGCATAATTTTGATCGCGGCCGCACAATATTTGTGCGGTCCGCGCTTCAGACATCTTTGCCCAGCCTTGATTTTTGTTCAACTTTTGACTCCTTTGTGAGCTGATTTTGATTCCTTTGGCTCATTTTGAACAATTCCTGCAAGCAAGCATATTTCATTAGTTTTCGGGAATACCTCCAAGCATTTTTGGCCTAAAACACAAGTAAAAGAGAGCAAATAATAGGTTAAAATCCCTACTTATCAACAACTAAGCCAAAACAGTTAATTCATGCCAAGTTCAATTGCAGCAGGATATAATATCTTTAAGAGATTTCATGACAGTGATATATGCCAGCTGAAGTACAATAGTAATGGAATCAAATGCATAATCTCAGAGCAACAGTCATTCAGTCCTTCCATACACTCCAAACTTACAGTCACTCATTCCTCTTAGTCACTTAGCACTCGATACTCGCACTCAGTAGGTACTTACGCTCACTGGGGGTATGTACAGACTCCGGAGGGGCTCCTTCAGCCCAAGCGCTATAACAATCCAGTCATGGCATAAATTAATAAAACATATTACGGCGTGCAGCCCGATCCCATAAATATCCTCACAATCAGGCCCCTGGTCTCACTCAGTCATCAACCTCTCCAGTCTCTCGGGCTCTCAGTAATCATGATAATCAGCCCAAACAACGATGATATAATATATCAATAATGAACAATAGAGACTGAGATGTAATATCCAAATAAAAACTGTGACTGAGTGCAAAACAACAATTTAGCAGATAATTCAACATGTACATGACCTCTGTTGGTCCCTACAGTGCCAACGCATAGTATAAACATGGTTTCTAACATGATTTGCAGTTCAATTTCTATAACACAAGGAGAATATATAGATAACAACAAAATTTTCAATTATTCGAATCCATGGAATTGACCAAGTCATAATTCCTACGGTGCACGCCCACACGCCCATCACTTAGCATGTGCGTCACTTTAAAATCAATTACATGACACATAATATGGGGTTTCATACCCTCATAACCAAATTTAGAACTGTTACTTACCTCAATCCGAGCAAATCTTTACTCCAACACACCTTTGCCTCGCGAAATGGCTTCCGAATGACTTGAATCTAACCATAAACAATGCGATACAATCAACACGGGCTAAAGGAATCAATTCCATAAGAAAATACTAAAGTCTTAATCAAAAGTCAAAAGTCGACTCAAAAGCCGGTCCCTAGACCCATGTCTCGAAAAACGATAAACGTTACAAAACCCGAAAGCCCATTCAATCACGAGTCCAACCATACCAAATTTACTAAAATCCGACACCAAATCGTAACTCAAATCCCCAAATTAAACTCTCTAAATCCCTAGCCTCAAACTCCTAACTCCCACCTTAATTACACACAAACTAGGTGGGAAAATCAATAGGAAAACATAATTATTGAACAAATTAGACCACAAGTGACTTACCTCAAGAAATTCCCCGAAAATCCTCTCAAGAATCGCCAAATCCCGAGCTTGAAATGTTTAAAATGGTGAAAAGTCTAGGAACCCTCATTTATAAGACACTGCCCAGGCTTTTCGCACCTGCTGCCAAATGACCGCACCTGCGGAATCGCTTTTGAGGTAAAATCCTCTGCTTCTACGGAAATCACTTAAACCTCCAGGGGCCGCATCTACACTCCAGGTACCGCACATGTGGAGGTGCTTATGCGACACATCATCCGCTTCTGCAGAACAGACCTTGTCCCTCAACTCTGCATCTGCGGAGCCTTGCTCGCACTTGTGGGCTCGAAGATGCGGTTACCCCTTCGCACATGCGCCCTGCCCAGGCCAGCCTATCCCCGCACCAGTGCATAACCAGCCGCATCTGCGGCATCGCATGTGCGAAAAATCACCTCGCACCTTCGACCTCTGCCCATTTCTTTCCATGTCGCTTCTGTGATTCCCTTCTCGCTTCTGCGAGCTCGCACCTGCGGTCAAAACTCCGCAGGTGCGATCGCACCAGATCTGGTGCACTTCAGCAATTCCAAATCTTCATCCGTTAACCATCCGAACTCCACCCGAGGCCTCCGGGACCTCAACCAAATATACCAACAAGTCCTAAAATACGATACAAACTTAGTCGAGACCTCAAGTCACATCAAACAACATCAAAAATACGAACCGCACCCCAATTCAAGCCTATTGCAACTAAGGGATCCCAACTTCTACAAACGATGCCGAAACCTATCAAATCACATCCGATTGACCCCGAAATTTGCACACAAGTCACACGTGACACCACAGACCTACTCCAACTCCCAGAACCAGAATCTGACCCTGATATCAAAGAGTCCACTCCTGGTCAAACTTTTCTAAAAATCCTCTTTTCGCCATTTCAAGCGTAATTTAACTACGGACCTCCAAATCACAATTCGGACACGCTCCTAAGTCCAAAATCACCCAACGGAGTTAACAGAACCATCAAAACTCCATTCCGGAGTTATTTATACATAAGTCAATATCCGGTAAACCATTTCAACTTAAGCTTTCAACCTTGAGACTAAGTGTCTTAATTCATTTCGAAATCCTTCCAGACCTGAACCGACTAACCCGGCAAGTCACATAAGAGCTATAAAACACAAAATGAGAAATACATGGGGGAACGGGGCTACAACTCTCGAAACGATCGGCCGGATCGTTACAGGGGCCTAAAGCCAAAGTTTAATATGAGGCCTAAATTTTTAAAAGAAAGTTATAAGATATGTTTTTATTTGAAGTCTATTCTTCTAACTTTTTGAGATATAAAGTTGTTAATAATTTTTTTTGTAATCGATTTTCTCTAATAATTCTTGCTTGATTGATAATATCGCCAACTTATTTAATCTTTCTTGAGATATTATTGATCTTAGATAAGATTTTACAAAGTAATAGAAGTGGAGTATACAACTATTGGAAGCTTAAAAGTATTGTTGAACACTTGAACTAGTGAAATCTTAGAGAAAGAAGGTGAGTAATGAAATCTTGGAGAAAGAAGTGAGTAAGAATATAAAAGAGAAACACAAAAGAATATGTAGGGTTTTCTGAAATATGAAGAGATTGAAACAAAAGAAAGATTGACTTGACAAATTAAGAAACAAAAAATAAATTTTTTAATGGAGTAAAAAATAGAAAACTAAAAGTTATGAAAACTATTCATCTACACATTTTTAAGTAAGTTAAATTATTATTTTATTTATATATCTAAAAAAAATTCTTTCCTTTATATTAAAAACTCTAGTTTTGTATTAAAAATACTAAATATTATTTTTTAAATACCTATGAACCTATTATTTTTAAAAAATGGCCCCCCTAAATTTGGGGCCTAAGGCACAAGCCTAACTCCACATAAGGTTGGAGCCGGTCCTGCTGCCAAGTGAGGGGATAAAAACTATTTTGAAGGATATGGTGTGCTTATTCAATGGCCAACACTAGTGATTTTTTTGGGTGGTAGAAAATTGAAGAAGAAGAAGAGGAGGGTCTGAGTAAGAAACATAATTTTATAAGACATACTTCTACCAAAAATAAGTGTCTATTTGATCACTAGCTAAGTTGGAAGGGTCTAATTTATAAATTGTGTCAACTTTAAGGGGCTATCTAGGTATTTGGCCAAACTAAAAAGAAAAGAGGGATAAAAACGCAATTATAAGTAGTTGGAAGGTGGAAGTGATAACTTTGGTAACGAACTATAAACTGTTTCGTCTCCGCACATTTGTGTGTTTCAATCGCTGCCACCAAAAATAGCTCCAATGGCAGCAAAGCTTCTGCTCTCTCCTCTCTCTCTTCCTTCCAGTTTCCTCAGTAGCCGAGAATTTCAGCACCACCATCGTCATCTATGTCTCCGAACAAAACCCAAAACCCGTTTCACCGTTCACGCATTTACCGATGTCCTCTTCACTGCTGCTACTACTTCCGCTCCTCTACTTGTCCTTGACCAATTTCAAGAAAACCCATCATCTCTCTTTTCAATAGCAGCAGCAGATTCTGGTTATTCAGTAGCTAGCTACTACACTTCACTCGGTCTCTTTGTCATTTCTATTCCTGGTCTTTGGTCCCTTATTAAACGATCTGTCAAATCCAAGGTCATTCATTTGTTTAATTCCATGTGTACATTTTCTTTTGGGTTTTATTTTTTCTTGGTGGGCTTATCATGTATTTTTATGGTGAATTTTTGGATGCAGATAGTGCAGAAGACATTTCTTAAGGAAGGTATAGAGGAGGGGAAGAAGGCAGCTAACCAGGTTGCTGGCGAAATTCTTTCATTCTTCACTCGAAATAACTTTGCTGTGTTGGATAGAGGAGAGACTATTACGTGAGTAACCCACTCCCAACCACTAGTATTTTTTCTTTTTTTAAACATATGTTATCTTTGTGCCTTATCCCCTAAGGGTGATAGTCCAATTTTCTGAAAAAGAGAAGTGAAAATGACAGTAAACTTAGTTGATTGGACAACTGCACTGGTATAAAATGGAGTTTTTTTTTTTCATTTTTATTCTTTAGCTTTTCCCAGCACAATTTTGTGTAATTGATGCGAATAGCACTGGCCTGAAATGGCTGCAAACTCTGCTATTGGCTGCATAAGCTTGTCTTTACTCATGTTTATGATTGAATTTTATTTTCTGCTAAAAGTGGTCATGCTTTGGATTAATAGTATGTGATTAAGCTCTTTTCGTATCTTTTCATCTGAGGTGCACACTGTAAGGTTTTCTTTTCCGATGCCTGAGATAACAAATTAGAGATGATATTCAGAAAATTTGTACAACATCACCACTATCATTTGAGAATCTTTAAGTAGGTGAGTGACACTACAATTAATTTGTCATATTAGTATATTTGTCATGCCTTGACCTGTGAGAGAGCACTTCTGCCTCAATAGAGGATATTTAATTATTGCATATACCTATAGTGATTGTTTCAGCCTTCTCTCTCTCTCTCTCTCTCTCTCTCTCTCTCTCTCTCTCTCTCTCATTGAGACTAATGTAACTTTTGCATCCTGAAGGTTTGAGGGAATGATGGTTCCAAGCCGAGGACAAGCAGCATTGTTAACTTTCTGCACCTGCATAAGCTTGGGAAGTGTTGCCCTTGTTCTCACTATAACAGTTCCTGATGTAGGCAATAATTGGTTCTGGATCACTGCCTTAAGTCCGTTAGCGTAAGTACTGCTAATAAAAAAATTCATCTGTCAATTCTGATTGTGTATTGTTGTTGATTGCAAACTGTTTCTCTCAAATTGGGAGCAGGGGCATATATTATTGGACTCGAGCATCCAGAAAGGAGCAGATCAAGGTGAAAATGATGGTAGGAGATGATGGAAGCTTGTCAGAGATCGTTGTTCAAGGTGATGACCAAGAAGTAGAGAAAATGCGGAAGGAGCTACAGCTGAGTGAAAAAGGCATGGTTTATGTTAAGGGCTTACTTGAAAGATGATATTACTTGGTTTTCTTGTAAGATATGTATACCTGAAACATACTCCATGATGCTTGGTCAATAACACTTTGATGCTCATTCTTCATTCTTATATTCTAACCAAAATATTTCTTAGAAGCAGTAAATTAATCACACATGCATACCTTAATCAGAAGTTCTTGTGCAATTGTCGACGAATGTTTCTAATATACACTATGAGTGCTTTGTTACTTTCTTCTCACAGCTGTCTATGACTTGACATGCTTTTAACTTGAAAGAATCCTAATCATGAACCTTCTCTAAAAGACATAATATTAAGGCAAAAAGGGTGCAAAGAAAGGGGGAGAATGAAGTTGTTTATCTATTCTCAAAAAAAGGGGGGAGAATGAAGTGTTCTTCTGATAAGTAGTATAAAAGAATACTTCCTCTGTTTCAATTTATGTGAAACTATTTGACTGGGCACGATATTTAAGAAAAAAGAGAAGACTTTTGAACTTATGGTGTAAAATGAGGCACATATATTTTGTGTGGCTATAAATCATTGTATAAAGGTAAATTGTTTCCAAATACGGACAATGGTCATTCTTTTTGGCACGGACTAAAAAGGAAATAGGTTCACATAAATTGAAACGGAGGGAATAGTATTTTTTGTATTGCAGAAACTACGTGTACCAGCAAGTGCCTTCCAGTACACGTCATGATACCAACTAAGGGGTTGTTTAGTTCAATGGTGGGAATATCCCATGGAATCAGCTATCCCACCTTCTATATGGGATAGCTAATCCCACCATTTTAGTGTAAAAGTTATCCCGGTATTAGCTAATACCCCAAACCAAACATGTGATAAATTTAATCCCAAACTTTATCTCGGGATTATTATCCTTATCCCATGTACCAAACGACCCCTAAAGGTATACATTTTGAGCAATGAAGAGTCATGATAACATAACTTCTGTCAAGCCTTTGACGATATGATAATCCATCTTCAAAACACTAGGCTCTTTAGATGTGGGTAATGAAACCATCATTATCCAATATCAGTACAATACATTCCATACTTGGCCTATGTTACAGGCACTGCTGAACACACAAAGATCCACATGGACTACTCTTTGCACTAGATATGTTGCATTTCATAAGTCTCTTAGATGTACATCAATCAGTTTCAAACATCTGGATTCTGTGGAGAGAATCCACATTTGAGTAGTAAGTTTTACTAGGTCGGTTATTGTAGTATCCCATTTGTTACCATCTTCTTTTACATCCAATCTGCTGCTCTATGATCTGATTCACCCATAAAGATTATGATGATGGTTAGATGGAAGAACCCTCGGTTTCTCTTCCTATTTAAGTTTTGAACTTTCTGTTCAGCAGTTAGAAATTAATCAAAAATTTAACTTCCTTTTGGCAATTCAATGGTGTCTTTCTAACACAGCCTCTTGACCAATTTTCTCTTGCCCAATCTGTTGGATCTTTGGGTTCTAATTTATCCAGACATCTGCAGATTTGAGAGTTGCCACTATTGCACAAACCATACACGTGACACCAGCCATAAATGTCACAGTTATCAGCTGGTGCGCCAGCAACATCATCCCAATTGATTATTCTATTCTGAAAGCTGTAGATCCTCCTTTCGTTGCATCACTACCCTTGCAATGATAGAGCTGTCTGTTAGATCATACATGAAGTGTATTTCCTCAGGATCAGGATCAGATAAATATGTATAGTTATAACCATTGCACGATGCATCGCGAGATGGTGCATTAGAAAAGGCTCAACCATTCCGTGGTCCAGCCCTGTAGTGTTCAATGGAACCATTCATGATAAATGTCTGTAGGAATCCACGAGGATCGAATGTACAAGTAAACTCATCCCTGGAAGGGTCATTTCTGCTCTTCCATGACCAGATGGAACGATGGAAACCACCTTCATTCCAGGTAAAGCAATGTCACCAGGATATTCAAAACTCTGCCACAGATAATTTGCAGTTGCATCTCGAACAACAAGATTGCCTGAATCAAGAAGCTGTGCTATTGGATTTTGCACGCGTCCGGTGGCATTGGAGGACCAAATGACACGGCTGGAACCATTTTGAAGAGTAAGAAGTCCTTGTCTTGTAAAATTTAGCATACCATCTGTATCATTGAGTGGACTGTCTTTGTTAGCAGCCCATACAACTGTCTGTATGGGAACTTTGTTGAACTATATTCCTAAGAACCGTTTCCTGGATGTCCCAGGGGCGAAAAATCACTACTTAGACTTTGCACCTGATGAAATAATGGTGTTTGCATCTGTTAAAGGTTGATCTGCAGGTATGGTATCTAGAGCACTCGACAGAATCCAAACAGAAAATATGGAAGACTAGAAGAAATGTATGCTTATGGTTTCCATTGGTTCCATGGTCTTGTTATTATCTTAGGTAAAAATAGGTTTCATTTTGACTGCAAGCCCAAATAGAGTTAAATTGAGATATGAACTTTCACTGATATTAGCAGATAGAGTTTTCAATTTGTTGTTTGCTTACAGATGGAGTCATTGACATGTTCAGAGTTGGTGGGCTTCCATATGACTTCTGCTAACTTTGATAATCAGTTTGATTGAACATATGTTTTGCGTAAGTGTGTGAACTTGATACATGATGGTTTGACCATTCCTATTTGCGTATAGATTTTGAATGTTGAGATTTCTTTCGTTTCTCTTTATCTTAAAGTTATTTTTCGGGAGCTTTATTTGGTCAAAGATAAGAGCTGTAAAATCTGAAGTAGAAGGGAGTAAAGAGGAGATGACCATTGAAGTTCCTTTCTGACAACAGCTTCAGTAACCATTTTGGCTACAATTGAAGTTGATCTTGTTAGAAAAATGATATAATACAAAAGAACAGAGATAAGGAAAGGCTTTGAGGTGTACTCCTAAAAACTGATGATGTGGAGCAGCCTTTTGTCAAAATAGCTTTTCAGAAAAGTATTTTGAGACACTATCATTTTGAGTTTGGCCCATGCATTTGAGAAGTATTTTTCTTCCAAGTTCTTACACCGGTTGTCCCTCTATAGGATTGGTATTCATCTTTTGTCCCTGTTTTTGACACACGTGTGAAACTAGCCCTTTTAAGTTTAATGAACAAATTCTAGACTAAGATGGCCTTCAGCTCCTCCCTTTCTTCTTTTTCAGGAAGGCCACCATGTTATTCAATTTTGGAAGCTTGAAATTTCTGTTTGTTGGTTGAAATTCGAAGTTAATGGCTGCTTATTATTAAAATCGTTTGCGTGTTGATTATTTGTGCTTAAATTTTTAGTTCAAACAATGATTTATTGATTTGCTTTAAAAATTTCAATACTCCATTGTTGGTCTTTAAGAAGTGTTGAAGAAGACAAAGCGAGTCTTGTTGATTTAGTATTATTTGACTAAATTGGTGGTTGAGGTTTGTTTATGTTGGTGTTTAGAGGTTTTGTTTAAATTTGAGATCATTTGAAGCAGATGTGGGATGGTTTCATCGAAATTGGACTTGCAAACTCAAAGAACACTTTGTTGAACAACATAGATAAATTATGCCAATAAGGTAGAGTTTTGGGAACAACTTAACCGATAGGCTGAATGTAGATAATATGAGGTTATGCCAACATGGTAGAGTTTGGTATACAATTGAACAAGCACTAAGTCATGCCAATTGGGTAGAGTTTTTGAATTATCCAACTAGATAGTTAGGTCGAGTATAGCACAAAGTCATACCAAATCAGTAGAATTTGTGAACTATTTAACAAATAGGTTGAAGATGGCACAAAGTGATGCCAATCTGTTAGAGTTTGGTGAATAACTAAACAATCACAAAGTTATGTCAATCGGGTAAAATTTATGAATAATTTTAACAAATGGTTAGAGTTTGATGAATAATTTAATAATTTTTAACTTGGCTCATGAATTAATTTTATGGAACATGATCAAAATTACCCCTATCATTTAGTAAATGATTTAAAAATACCATCTGTCCACCTTTTGGTCCAAAAATATACACAACGTTATTTATATTGCTAAAATTATCTTTTGATTTAACGGCATAATATGTGGTCCCCACTAATGTGTTGGTAGTGTTTTATTGGGCCACATGACTTTTTATTTTATCTCTTATATACGGATTTAATTTAGGAAATTTTACCTCCTATAGCAAAGGTATACACCCTATTTATTATAAACCAAAATTATTTTAAAATATTATTTTCTATAGCTACCTTTTATATTTTATAGCAAAATAAGTATTTTATGGTATATACTACCATTGAGGCATGAAATACGCTATTTATGTTTTTCATCTCTCTTAGACAGTTGGACATACCTATTTTTAAGGGATTGCCGTTACTATATTCATGAATACATGACGCGAATACATGAGCGTACAACTGTATTCATGAATAGAGTAGCGTGAATACATGTGAATACATGTACGTACAGCTGTATTCATGAATACAGTAGCGCGAATACATGTGAATACATGCGTGCACAATTGGACTGCCCTGATTTTAGGCACTTTTTGCTGATGTATTCATGAATACATGGCGCGAATACATGTGAATACATACGCGTACAGCTGAACTGTCCTGATTTTAGGCGTTTTTTAATGTTGTATTCATGAATACAGTAGCGCGAATACATGTGAATACATGCGTGCACAATTGGACTGCCCTGATTTTAGGCACTTTTTGCTGATGTATTCATGAATACATGGCGCGAATACATGTGAATACATACGCGTACAGCTGAACTGTCCTGATTTTAGGCGTTTTTTAATGTTGTATTCATGAATACAGCAGCACGAATACATGTGAATACATGCGCGTACAACTGGACTGCCCTGATTTTAGGCGTTTTTTACTGTTGTATTCATGAATACATGGCGTGAATACATGTGAATACATGCGCGTACAACTGGACTGCCCTGATTTTAGGCGTTTTTTACTGTTGTATTCATGAATACATGGCGTGAATACATGTGAATACATGCGCGTACAACTGGACTGCCCTGATTTTAGGCGTTTTTTACTGTTGTATTCATGAATACATGGCGTGAATACATGTGAATACATGCGCGTACAGCTGGACTGCCCTGATTTTAGGCACTTT